AAGAAAGGAGAAAAAAAAAAAAAAAGGGACGGTACGATACGGCCCTTTGGGAGGATCCTGGCAAATAAGCAAATTAAACAGAAAGAGAGCAGCATGTTGTCATAGCAACAGCGCAATTAAATTACTTTACTGTCAGCCATCATATAATTTTCCTGTTTAGAAGCTCATGGGACATAACTTCCATTTGGAGCCAAAGTTGAGTGTGCGGTGTAGGTCGGCAGAGCCGGTGCCCCTGGGCACCGCTGATACTCGTGTTTACCTTCTGGCGGCTTTGAAAGCTAGGAAGTGGGACCTACGTAAGTTTGGCCTCCCAGTGTTTATATCTGCCTCCGTATTTTTTCCTCTTCCAGATACTTGTATAAAACCGCACATGTTGGCTGAGCTTCTTGGGTGATGGGGTGTGCTGTTGGACTTCTCTGCATAAAGTTTTGTATGTCTCTTTTTTAGTGATGGCTGCTTTGGGGTGAAGTGGTTTTAGGAAGGCCGGAGGAACTTTTGAAAAATCTATTATTAACTCTTTCCAAGTTTTAATTCACTTCTTTTCACATCTCCAGATGTAAATCCTGTCAGTTCTACTCTGTGGAGAAGCTAAAGGAGCATGTCTCCTGCTTATGAAGTAGAATTGTTGAGGTCCTATCTGCTTTCCTTGTGTTGGGCAAGCACACAACATCACCAGGCTTTTGCAGGGCTCAGGTCCTCCTGAATATTACCCCTCTCAGGTGTCCCCCCGGGGCCTGCTGTTGCAGTACCTTTGGCAGCTCGTCCCACCCATTCTAGGCCACTGTGGAGCATCATAGCAGTCTTTCTTAGTCCATTTTCTATTGTATTTGACATACAGTTCGGTTTATATTCAAATCTTCTCTGTTTACATACATTTTTAAAGTGCTCTATTCCTCTGGCGCTTGTTTCCCCATGTCTTGGCCGTGGTCCCAAAACTACTGTGTGTTGCTTTCCTGCCTCCCTTCTCCCACCTTAGCTGGTTTTGGAGTTCTGCTGTCACTTCTGAGTTTTGTTGCAACTGCAACTGTAGTCAGATTAGATGCGTGTCTGCCTCAGCCTTTAGCCAGAGTGACTTTAATCACACTGCTGTTGTATTGTCCTCAAAAGTGAAACAGCTGAACTTAATCTGAAGCAACTGGCCTTAAGCCCCTATGGTTTTTTAATCTTTTTTTTTTTTTTTTTTTTTTTTAGTTTACATGCGTATGAAAGTGATGCAATCAGAGTATTCAATGATTTGATACACAAATTCATCATTAAAGGGACATATCTCTGGCATTTCCTGTGTGGGGGTTTCACATACATGCAGAGCTAACGTGTACTGGGATTATCACCTTATTCCATCCACTGATATTTCTTCCCTTGCCCTGACTTCAGATTGTTTGATTCAACAATTGTGGACGGGTGTTTACGTGGGTCTGTTATTTTTAATGCAGATCGCAAAAGGCCAAGTGACCAGTTAGGGAAAAGCTGTGAAGATGTTACAAAGTGCCTTTTTCATGAGGTAACTTTTCTTTCTGTTTCTTTCTCCCCTTCCTTTGGATTCCCTCTCCCAGGAGCTGCTGTCTAAATGGGTCCAGTCATGCCTCCCAGTAAGAAGCCAGAGGGCTCAGGAATTAGTGTTCCCAGCGGATTGAGCCAACGTTACCAAGATGGCGATTTATCAAAGGCGCTTCACGATGACGAGGACCTAGACTTCTCTTTGCCTGCCATCAGATTAGATAAAGGGGCCATGGAAGATGAAGAACTAACTAATTTGAACTGGTTACATGAGAGCAAGAATTTGCTGAAAAGTTTTGGAGACTCAGTGTTAAGGAGCGTTAGCCCCATTCAGGACATTGGTGGTGACACGCCGCCGTCTCCTGCCCACTCTGACATGCCCTACGATGCCAAGCAGAACCCCAACTGCAAACCTCCTTATTCCTTTAGCTGCCTCATATTTATGGCCATCGAGGACTCGCCAACCAAAAGACTGCCTGTAAAGGATATATACAACTGGATCTTGGAACACTTCCCGTATTTTGCAAATGCGCCCACTGGATGGAAAAATTCTGTGAGACATAATCTGTCCTTAAATAAGTGTTTTAAGAAAGTGGACAAAGACAGAAGTCAGGTAAGTTTGGAACTATGGAGACTTATCTGGCTTTGGAAATATTCACCTGCTAATCCCAGAACGTGCCCTTGACAGTGAAACATGCAATACTGTCCTTAGTAACGTAGTTCATTCAGTTCAGAAAGCCAGTGTTTCTTTAACATGGCTTATTCTGATTGTATTAAATTCATCGTCTAGACATCTGTAAGAAAGTACTCTGTGTGTGTGTGTGTGTTTTTTTCTTTTCCCCTCAGCTGGTGTCTTCATGCATAGTGATTAAATATTGTTTTTAGTTATCATGCTGTGGTAATGGTTTCCAGCTATACTAGATGAATGTAATCATGTTATAAATAGGCTGCTTGCTGTTCTTGGCTTATACAAATGTATAGTGAAAGAGTATGCCTTGTGTGAGAGTCCATTGCTTTTTCCCTGGCCTGTGTTGTATTCTGAAAAACTTTTCTTTCCTTAAACAACCAGAAGTAGTTCTGAATTTTGGTGATGAAGCTTCATTCCATTTCAGGTGAGTTTTAGAGGACGTAGGTCTGGCGTCAGAGGTGAAAGTTACCTTTCACCGAAATGTCAGTCGTTCCCTCGCTGGGCTCCTGTATCTTCTGCGACCGGTGCAGTGGCAGAAGCTTGGGGAGCACGTTTTTTGCTTTTGGGTCTCCGTTTGGTTTCCCTGCGGACCCCTGGGCGGCGAGCGCGG